CACACACACACACACACACACACACACACACACCAAACAGTAAGTTGTTAAATACAAAGTCATTAGGGAGGGAGGGAAGGCACTAGCAGCTGGACGGATCAGAAAAGGTAGAAGGTAGTGCCAGAGTTCTGTCTTAAAGGAAGTTAGAGATTCTCTGAGACAGAACTGAGGACAGGGTGTATTCCTAGTATGGGGACCAGTTAGCACAAAGACCCAGAGATGGGAGAATAGAGCATCTTGAGTGAGGAACACAGAAAAGTCTAGTCTGAGAGAACAGTAGTGTGGGAAAGGAAGTAATGTCTAATAAGACTGGAAAGATAGGTTGGGGCAGGAGTGGGGAACCTATGGCCTTGAGGCCACGTGTGACCTTCTAGGTCCTTGGGTGCAGCCTTTTGATTAAGTCCATGTTTTACAGAACGAATCCTTTTAAGGGGATATGTTCTGTGAAGTTTGGATTCAGTCAAAGGGCCACACTTGAGGACCTAGAGGGCCACTTGTGACCTGGAGGCCATAGATTCCCCACCCCTGGGTTGGGGCCAAGTTGTGAAGGGTGTTAAAAGACAAAGAAATTTACAGTTGCTGGAGTTAGGAAAGTAACATAGAAGCTGGCTTTGATAGCTATGTGGAAGACGATTGGAACAGGAAAAACCTGAGAATGACTGATGATGAGTGAAGTGAGCAGAACCAGTAGAATGTTGTACATAGTAATAGCCACATTGTATGATGACTAACTTGGATAGACTGAGCTCTTCTCAGCAATGCAAAGATGTAAGACATCTCTGAAAGTCTCATGATAGAAAATGCTATCTACGTCCAGAGAAAGAACTATGGAGCTTGAATGCAGATCGAAGCATTTGCTCTTTTTTTCCTTTCTGTTCTGTTTTGTTTCTTCTTTCTTGTGGTTCCTCCTGTTGTTTCTAATTATTCCTTATAACACAACTAATGTGAAAATATGTATAATAGGAATGTATATGTAGAGCCTATATCAGATTGCGTGCCATCTTGGGGAGGGAGGTGGGAAGGGAGGGGGAGAAAATTTTAAAACTCAAAAGCTTATGGAAGTATTGTTGAAAACTAAAAATTAATTAATTAATTTTAAAAAACTAAGAATGGGAGACAGACTAGAAAGCTGTTACAATCTAGGTAAGAGATAATGAGGATATGAATTAAAATAGGATCTCTGTGAGTAAAGAGAAATGTTCATGAGAGTCATAAGATGAAGAGGTAGAAATGGCAAAATTTGGCAACTTATTGGATATGCAGGATGAGGGGAAAAGAGGAACTGAGAATAGTGTCGAAGTTACAAACTTAGAAGACTAGGAAAATGGTGGTATCCTTAATAAAAAAAAAAGTAAGCTCAATATGAGCAGTGTTTTTTTGGGAAAAGATAATGAGTTCTGTTTTGGACATTTTGAGGCTGAAAAGTCTCTATGATATCCAGTTAGTACCGGACTAGGGCTTAAGAGACAAACTGCAGTTAAATTTGTAGATTGGTAAGTCAACTACATAGAGAGGATAATTAAGCCCTCTCAGAAGTTGATGAAATCACGGAATGTGTGTATACAGAGATATAATAAAAAGGCCTAGTAGAAAACCTTGGGAATACATCAATAGTTAGAGCCTGATGTGCTAATGATATCGTTCCAGAGCAAGGGAGACTGAGGAGTAGTCAGATAGATAGGAGGAGAACCAAGACAGAATAGTATCATGAAAACTCAGAGAAGAAAGAGTATCTAGGAAGAGTGGGTGGTCACTAGTGTCAAATGTAAGGGTCAAGATGGATGAAGACTGAGAAAAGACCATCAGATTTGTAAATTAAGATCTCACTACTAATTTTAGAGGGAGTGGTCTTAGGTATTGAATCCTGGGTGACCCCAAGTTTGAGAATTCAGTCATTGGACCTTCTAGAGAAAGAAGAGAATTGCTGTAGAATTCCTGAATGATGTATTCAAGCTACATAATGGTGGCTGAGATGGGGCAAGAGATCTGGACCTTGCCAATCTCCATTGTTAACGGTGAATTATTTGGACAATGGAAAGGAGTGTTACCATTAAAATGCATTTCCCTTCCACAGGAATCCAAGGCTTTAGAAGGTCTCCAGAGGGGCTAAAGAGGCACTCAGTGAAACGTTGAAACCTTTATGAGTGCTTTATGTATTTTATGTAGATGTTTCGGTGTTCCAGTGAGTCTTTTGTACCCTTGAATCCTATTTTCTATAGAATGAAATCAAGGCTGTCCTACATGATATGCATTTATTACAGTGAATACTTTGGGAGCTGGGAACAATATTGCCCGCATTTAGGGAAACCTATTCGTAGGTTATATTTTGTAGATTTTCCTGATGAAACCCCAAGTTGGGGCAGAGAGCTAAAAGGGAAAATAGCCTTTTGGTAGTTAGATCTCAGGATCAGACCCAGTCTGTGTAAGGTCAAAGTTTTGGGGGGAACCCAAGGCCATGGGCTACACTTACCTATCATCTTCGATGGTGAACTTTTTCTGAAACCCTTGAGAAGCACAAGTTGGTCCGGTTGTTTCCAGGTAAAGTCCATGTTTTCTTTCTTTGAAGCCTTACAAGGCAATTCGGCAATACCCCCAGCCTCGCCCAGTATCAACTCCTTTCCTCTGGTCATAGCAGGCAACAGAACTGGATCCCAGAGATTGAGAAGAAGTAGGTAAGGGCCAGAAGCAGGCCCGGTTGCTGACTTTTATTTCCTCCCCTGATCCATCAATGAGACCCAGCTCCTCTGCCACCCCAGCCCCCAAATTCAAGGATGATCACTCACCCAACTGCAGAGCCAGGAGCAAGATTGCAAAGGTAGCTCCTCTATCCATTCTGACCATGTCAAGGAAGTGAGGAGCTAGACCTCCCCCCAGAGGTGCTAGAGTGGGAAGGAAGTCTAGGAGAAGCTGATTAGCGCCCTGGTCTCTTCTCTGTGATTCTGTGGATTCAAGAGAATTCAATTAATCAACAACTGTTTCATAGCAGTTCTACCATGGCATATTGGAGCAGCTAGGTGTTGCAATGGGTAGAGCACTGGGAATCAAGAAGACTCATCCTCATGAGTTCAAATCTGGCCTCAGATATTTACTTAGCTGTGTGACCCTGGGCAAGCCACTTAGCCCTGTTTTCCTCAGTTTCCTCATCTGTAAAATGGGCTGGAGGAAAAAAATGACAAACCATTCTAGTATCTTTGCCAAGAAAACCATGAAGAATCAGACTCAACTGAACAATCATTATGTGGAGGGCACTGAGTTAGTCACTACAGGGGGTACAAAGAAGAACAAAATTTTACTTCAGAAGCTCATAAGTATGAAATTTTTACTTAAATCAAGCCAAACTCTGCTTCTGGGAAGCTTTCATCCTTTGATTCTTATGCATAGAATCATGTATTAAGCGTTGGCAGGGACCTTAGGGGTATTTAGAACAAATCTAATTCTTCTTTCACTGATGGTTTTTCAAGTACTTGAAGGGTCCCTATTGTCCCAGCTCCAAGCTAAACTATCCTTAATTCTTTCAAACAATCCACTGTCGAAATATTTTGGAGACATCATGTTTCCTAGAGCTAAAGCCCAGCAAACAGGCTGTGCCCTGAGCTTGGCATAACAACAATCCTTTACACTCTGGATAATCTCACCCTCTGGCAAAGTGTATTGCCTTGACCAAGCACCAGGTGTTCACTGCCCCCTCTTTCCGAAGGACCTGAGAGCCATCCATCACCTAGCTTGACTTGCTCATGATCCTTGTTCCTTGTAACAGCTAAGTGAACCGAACCAGATACTGTACCCTACTATGAGACAATCAACTTGGAGACTGTTCCCACAGGACCCAGGAATGCCTGCATTGTTCACACAAGAGCCTGCCATGGGGAACTGCTACTCAAGGGCTAAGAATGATTATGCCATAGTCCAGCCCACTTATGTATATAAGCATTGCCTTTACCTCAACATATTAAGCCCTCCTTCGCAGGAGGGGGAGCTTCCTTGCTTACGAGTCATTTTTTCTCACTTTGAAATAAATTATAACACTACTTTGTGTCCTGACACACCTGCTTCTGACCTGCTCTGTTCAGCTCAGGCCACTCCCAGGTTAGAGACTGGCTGAGTCTGGCCTGCATTCAAAATTCTACTGACATTAATTGGTGGCAGAAGTTCATGGGTGGATGTGGAAGTGAAGCCTGGAGCCCTCCTGTATGAGTGGAAATGGGCTAAGTGCTACTGGAGTTTTCTACGGAGTCCAACCCCGCCTCCTTTGACAAGTTCACTACTCTCACTCCCACTCCATCATTGACTTGAGTTCACTTTTCTCTGAGAGGAAAACCCCAGGGTCCCTCCCTTGACCCTGTTCTGGTAAGGATATCCTATGCACACCTCTGTTTCTTTGCACGGCTCTGGTAAATTTGCTGTTGTGTGTTTCTGTTTTTCTGTACACTTCAGTACCAGTGTGCCCACCCCCCAGCCAGCAAGCTTTTACTTGCCACTGGTCCAGCTTCCGTTTCCCCATGCAGGCTAAGAGGGTGTTTGGTTAGCTAATGGTTTACCTCTGTAATTTGGCCCTTCTTCATGCCTCTGTCAATTGGTTTTGTAAATTGCATAAGCCTCTAGTTTGGGTAATTGCTTACACTGTGTGTCTTGTGTCAACTGGGTAAAATAAGATCTGTGCACTTTGTTGTTTGTTTTTGTCTTTTATTTTGTCTGTGTATCTTTGTAAGATGCAGAATGTCTGTCATGTTTGTGCTGTGAGCTAGATTCTGTTACCTTGAAAGATTTAAAATGTAGCCAGCCAGAAAAACTTCTTAGAACTACAGCCAGAACACTGGAAAAAATTGATGAGGAACTTTCATAGCTGAAGCAGGTTGTCCCCAGTAAGCAAAGCCTTACTTTAGGCTTTCTATGGGAGATTAGGTTATGAGAAAAACCTATAAGACACTTTTTTTTTCGTGTCATTTCAACCACTGGCCCAAGTTGAAATTACAGAAATAAAGTCAGGTAATCAAAGTTGTATCTGAGGGTTTTGCTGACCATTTTTTAAATTTTGTTTTTATTTTTATTTTATTTTATTTTAGGCAATTGGGGTTAAGCGACTTGCCCAGGGTCACACAGATAGGAAGTGTCAAGTGTTTGGTCTGAGGCCAGATTTGAACTCAGGTCTTCCTGACTTCAGGGCCAGTGCTCTATCCACTGTGCCACCTAGCTGCCCCTCAAAGTTGTAGAACTGCTAAAAACATCTTAGCAGATTCTGGAAGTTTGGAGATTAATTATTAAGGAGTTTGGAAATTAGTCATTTTTAAGATTACAGGAGAGAAATTGCTGAACAAGTTGTGGTATGTGAATATAATGGAATACTATTGTGCTATAAGAAATGATGAGCAGGCAGACTTCAGAAAAACCTGGAAAGACTTGTATGGATTGATGCTGAGTGAAGTGAGCAAAACCAGGAGAACGTTGCACACAGTAACAGCCACGTTGTGTGATGACTAACTTTGATAGACTTAGCTCTTCTCAGCAATGCAAGGATCTAAGACAAGTCCAAAAGTTTCATGATAGAAAATGCCATCCACATCCAGAGAGAGAACTATGGAGTTTGAATGCAGATTGAAGTATCCCATTTGCTTTTTTTTCTTCTGTTTTGTTTCTTCTTG